TATATATATATATATATATATATATATATATATATATAGGAGCCAGAGAAGCGGTTGCGGCGTGTACGGGTAGCCGGGGGGACGAGGGACGATCGACGAGAGCCCTAGGTTTTGTTTACGCTGCCGCTGCCAACATCGCCGGCCGAATCACCTCCTGTCTGCCGCTGCCGCAATCCGCGGCCTCCCGCTGCTGTTTTCGAAGGCTAAGTCACCTCCTCTCGCCGGTACTGTTCTCTTCTCTCTTTCGTCCCTTCTGCTACCGTCTCCTCCCCTCTTTCCCCTCTTTCGTCTCTTCCTGTTCACTCCTCTCCTCCCCACTCCTGTGCTCTTCTCTCTTCGCCTCTCCTGTTTTATTCTCTCTTCCCTTCTCTTCTCCTCTCCTCTCCTCTCCTCTCCTCTCGTTTCCTCCCTCTCATGTGATCTCCTCGCTTCCTCTCTCTCCTGTTCTGTCGTCCCCTCCCTTCTCTAATGCTTGCTTAGTTATCCAGATTCGTATGTGGAGAGGAAGGTTTTAATTATACATAATGAACTTAGACAATTCTCTGCATTCAAATTTTCAATTCTTGTGTTGCATTGTTTTTTAATTAACTTTACAATCTTATAGTGGGAGTCAATAGGAGAAGCCTTGACCATAATCTGTTTCTCTTTAACCTATGTCATTCCCTGAACTTACCAAGGCACATGTATCTCTTGTGATTTATGCACAATTAAGATTGGAAGATGTTGATATCAAGGTTTAAAATCTCAACTCACTACCAGTTTCGGATTTTGCTGGAATGATGTGATTTTAGTATACTGAACATATATCAACATGTATTGGCGGTATCACAAAAATATTAAAAATTCTGACTGGTATCAGGTCTCACAAGATGCTTGATCGAACTAGTAAAATATTGGCTGCTATGTGTTGGCAGTTGATACTACCGGTATTTGAAACATTTATTAATATAAATGAATTAGAGAGGCATACTATAAGGGAATATGGAAGTATACATATAATATACTACTCATGAGCTGATTGGCAATAACATAAACTTATTTATCTATTTCCAGATATAATCAATGGTCCTGTTTTACCTCCAATTTAGGTTTCTTTATTTGTCTCTTTTTTCGCTCTTCTATCTATTTATTCACCCCCTGCACCCGCGGAAGAAAAAGTATTCATTTATTTTTGTACGAGTACAGCAATATTCTTGGTTTCTCGATCTTTGTTTAATGGGTTAGGGCTTGGCAAATACTCATCTTACATTTGGTTGAGGCTTTGTGATTGATAATTTGTTGTGCGGAATATAAGTTTTATCCCAATCAGTTACAGAGTTTATGATATTATAAGAATTCCTTATGGTATGATTTGGGACTACCTTCATGCAGAAGCTATGTTTGATGAATTGGATCCTTCCGATGACGTTTTTCATCACCCAGCTTCTTCCCCAGGTTATTGCTATGTCCAAACTTTTTTATTTGCTCAAAAATTTCTTGTTATTTTCAATGCTGAAGTGCTACTGTGGATCCTAGCAGACCGAAAATTGGGCAAATTCCTACCTAAAGCTCGTGCAAAACCTGTTAAGGTTACCTCCACAGCCCCCAAAACTTCTGATGCTACCCCGTATGCTCCTCCTCTCGAGCCTGTGGCTCCGGATGCTGATTCAAACCTTGAGATGGAGCGCCCCTATCTCCAACCTTGTGTTTCCAATTCCTATAGTGTGGCCTGTGACCACCATTCCGTGCAAGAATCTGTTGGGCAACTGAAGTCCACACTTGCAGAACCCGTAGAATCTGAAGGTAAATATGTGGAGAATTTCCAGCAAAATCAAGGAAACATAGATCAGGTAAAGGTGAACCTTTTGTTAAGTTGTCACTTGCATGGTGGATAAACGCTATTAGTAAAATCTTATTGCTACAGGATGCAGATATGTGCTTTAGCTTGGATTTTCCTAATGGTCACTTGAAGACGACTGGTAATCCTGGTTATGTTATAACTTGGATTAACTTTTAAATATTAAGATTAATTTATTTTGACACCCTGCTCTTTAAGTGTAAATTTTCATGTCATTAGGACCTGTTGATAGCTTTAGGCCAAAAGCTAATTCACACCATGATGACAAAGAGCTTGGAGTCGAGGAATCATTCTGTGCCTCAACCCTCTGCTCTGGCTGCAACCAAACAGAGGCTACTCACTCTGAAATAAATGCAGCTCAACAACCATTTCAGGCTGAACAATCAATCCTTTTAAAGACCTATGGAGATGGAGAATGTGTGCAAAGTGGTGATATTGATGTGCGATCCAATATTGCAGAATCAAAGGAACAGGCAAGTTGCCTTTCAATGTCTGAGATGTAAGTTATTTGATTGTTCTCTATATAAGTTTGGGTTCTTATTAGCTTCTAAATGCTATATCAGGCATCAACAAAGCTTTCCAGCATGGACGCTCTTTACGACTTGTCTCATTCTAGTGGAGCCACTGGTAAGTAGGAGTTGCCAATTATTTTGACTAATTCCTTAGGGATATAGCAAGTTGAGGTAGGAAACACATGAAAATTTCTGGTTTTGATCGTATCTTATGATTGATCATATTTTTGCCTTTAAGAGGATATGAATTGGATCATGATTTTAAACTGTAATTATCATACTTTTCCAGAGCAAATATTTGCATCGAGTATGATGTGCAGTCGAATCATTTAGCTTCTCATATATAAATTGTAATGGATAATAATGATCCGTGCCATTATAATGTAAACTTTTTAGTTTCTCCTAAAAATTTCTTCATTAAGCCTCTTATTATTCTTGTAATGGAGTACAACATGAAGATTTAAGAGCAATGTCAAGGTTATGTATCTAAGTTTACATTTAGCATGTACAATTAGATTAACAGGATAGAACTTGCAGATAACTAAGGGGTAATCTGAGAACATTGTTACAAGCATACCGATGTCCAACTTAACTAGAGCCTTCAGTGTTACATGGTGTCCAAATCAGGAAGGGTATCCGATACATTTGATCTGCAAACTCTAGTTATTATTTATGTTAGAGATTTATTGTGTGCTAGGTCTAGATTATGGTCGTAAAACTGTAGTTAAACCTTGTGCTTGTCATTGGAGAATGGGCCTCATGCTACTTGCATGTATTGTCATAGAAGAAGAAACAGGTCTTTCTGTTTCTGTTGAAATGGATTCCTCAACATCTAGGACCTATACATTAAAACATTGAGTTGTTCATGAATTGTCTGATCACTTGGGAGGTTCATGTCATGAAGAACAATTCTATAATGCAGAAACGAGGTGGTTCTAATGTTCGATCAATAAAAAACTTAACTAGGTATGTTTTCTGTTCTGTTGAAGTTGAGTTCCCATTATTAAGTTAGCCTATGTTCAGGTTGCATTTATGTTCCTCAGTATGAACTCCATTATGATATTTTTGGTCTGCTATCTCTACTATCTACACGTTGCTAATTTTCAGAATCCTTTTCATGTACTCTTTTCATTGACTACATTTTCATTGAGTGGTGGCTGTAAACAGAAGGTTTTGACACAATGTGCCATAAACATGTCATGTTATTACCATATACTATTCTAGGTATGGAGGCAATTGTTGAGGACACAAACCTTGCAACTGCTTGCTCTGGATCAAATATTTTGTCATCCGAATTGAATGCTACCCAACAACCTCTTCTTATAGCAAAAGAACTCGCAGCCTCAAAATCCACTGATGATGGACTTCAAGTCTCATTATCGGATGATGATTTGCAAGCTTTTCCAGATAATCGACAAGAAGTGGTATTGAACGATTATTTTCCTTCAGTGCAAATCATAGTTTCAAGTTTACATTGTAGCTTATCTTTTGTGTGACCGGATTCATTTTAGGAGATGGCAATGCTTTCTGGCCTTGAATCACTTGATGAATTTTCTTTTCAGCACAATAGCACCACTGGTAAGTAGAGACGCAACAGATAGTTTTTCAACATATTCAATGTTTTTGAGAATTAGATATAAATCCAACCCATGCATGTTGAATAATATCATATTTTTTCTTGAACATAGTCCTCTTTTTCATACGATTGTAGGCTTTGTTTGCCAACATGTTCTATTCGTTTCTCTTTTGTCTTTTAACGAATGCTTTGAGATGATTTGTTATCAATTTATTTTTCTTTCTAGATGTCGGACAAGTAGGCAAGTTCCAACCTAGAAACAAGTCACAACCAAAAAAGGGAACTGCTAAATCTGTTTCTTTTATTCTTCCTGATGCTTCCATTACTGGTCCTCCTCCCATGGGATCCTTTTCTGAGATAACGAACCCTTCTTCTGTACAAGCGAAGATCGATATACCTGTGGACAATCCTTTGCATTCATCAATCATAACCTCAGACTGCAATGAAGGTGTTCAAATAGATCACCGAGAGGTGGGAGAAGAGGTAAACTTTGTTTCTTGTCCGCTTGTCTTTTATCAGCAGAACTTGTTATATGGATATTCTGTTTGCTATTATGATGCAATGCCCAGACTTGGATTAAGAGACATCACAAGCACTGGTTCTGCTGTTTGTAATAGTGTTATTGACACTGTCTCTTTTGATAAGGATCCTTCAACTGTAAAAACAGACTTCTTAGAGGATCATGCTTCTGTTAAATCAGACACTGATATTGACTCATTTGTTCCCTGATGACTTGGCCTTAGTGCAAACAGATTTTACTGAGACTTCTAACCTTAAGTTGTTGCCAATGACATTTAAACTTACTCTCAAGTAATTGGTAGTATCTCTTATCCTAGACTGATTATGTAAGGTAAATTTTATTTGATCACATCTTATGAGGTATGTCACCTTTTTTCCCAGAATAGAGAAGAAATCAGACTTCCAAAGGGTTTGGAGGATATTCATACCGAGTCCCAATCCCAAATTGTTCAAAAACTTAAGCAGCGGATCCATGAAGGAAGGCCTACTTCAGAAAATGATGAAGATGATGATGCTCATAAACCATGTAGGAAACTGAGAAAGAGGATAGCCAAGTGCAGTACTGACCAAATTGAAGTTGGAAGCAATGATGAACGTGATATTGACAACTTTAATGTCTCTCAGATGGATGACAGCCAAAGTGATGATTGTCATAGGGATGAAGATATGCCTAGGCCAAAGAGGACCAAGAGAAAGTCAAAGAGGCAGACAAATGAAATTGAAAAACCCACTCGGAAGCGTAAGAAAGCCTTTGAAAAACCTGATTCTGTTGTAGAGAATTCACCTAAAAAGAAGTTTCCTCATGCCACAAGGCGAAGGAGAAGGCAAGGTAAATGAACTTGCAGTCTTATGTAATGTTTTCATAAACTCATGCTGCACCTGTTGGAAGAAACTGAATGAACTTCAGTCGATAATTCATTATCTTTGAAATGTTTAGTGAACAAAGTTTTACTGCAAACACCTGAAGATGAGATTGACCCGAGACAGATTAGCATAAGAGACCTAATAATGCTTGCAGAAGCTAAGGAGCGGATAGCAGTATGTCTTTTTTGGCTGCTTGAATGTTATCACTTATAATTGGTATTGTTGTATGTTGATATTATTTTAAATGTTATTCTGCAGAGTAAAGAAGCGGCGGCAATGAGTAAATTATTCTCAGGTCAGAGGTACGAAAAATATCTCACAGGGTTGCAAAATAGAATGTTTCACTTTGTGGGTTTTTAGATTATTTATATATTGGGATCTCGTGCCGCAGATCTCGGACGTCTAGAGGATATAAGCATACTCTCTTATTCTCTTTTAAATCAGTAGCACTATGTATTTTGAAACCCTTCCTGGCCAGTGAATCTTTTTCTGGCTGTATTATAGACGGTTTAATTGTCATGGAATAAATGAAATCTAAGATATATATCAATTTGACAACTATAAAAATGGACAGTGAATAAGCGTATTGTTGTCTGATATATGAGGTCTGTAATCAATTAGGCTTGAGTTATATGTAAATGCAGACAATACATTTCAGTCATAATCAGGTTTGCAACATAAAGGTTCAAAAACAGACAGAAAACTTTTGAAAATTCTCTTATCCACCAAATCATATTTTCTTAATCTAAATACTTTGACAGGTAGGAACTTATAGAAGTATTGCCGCTAGAAACATGATAGTGAGAGGAAGATACTTTGAAAGACGAAGTAAATTAGTTATTGACTCTAATGGCTTTGATAATGATGGATGAAGGGCCTCCTTAAAATAATGAGTGGTGGCAAGTAGAAGTGAGACACTTTTAGAAAAGTGCTTTTGACTTGGCCTTTAGCATGTCATTGTAGTAGGAGCCTTCCCTGAGATTGTGCCACAAATTAACTTGCTTAGATTTACCTTTGAATGTATGTTTGAAGATATGCAGTGGGGCATGCTTGGAGCTCTAATTGGAGCTTGTAATAGTACTGTGGTATATTAGTCTTTGTGATTGTTTATTCATGTGCATGAGTGGCACATACCTTTGTGGTTTTTCTCCTTGGTTGTTTGGGCATCTCTCTTTGTGGTTTTAGGATCCTCTCTTTTTAGGCTTAAAAAAACCTGGACTTGCTCATGGATTTTCAAGTCAGAATGGTTGTACATATCTATGATCTGTACTAAATGC